CAATAATCACGAATGGAAAAGCAAAAGAACATGAAATGGTATTCATGGGAACACAGAGGGTTTTGGGTTTGGGACTACTTCGCTGGTTGTCAGTAGGGAATGAGGGAATGGAAAAGAACATGGAACCTACTGTGTCATAGGGAGCTATGTATTGCTTACTGCAGGGATTCATTCCTCAGGAAGCGTCGTAATCGTCCTGACGTGTCCAGTACCTAGGCCTTCCAGGGTTAACCAGTGAGTGTATGTGCGGGTTTCGCGAAATGATTGCTGTAAAGTCCCAAGTTACAATCCCTGTGAAATCCCCCTTGAGGCATCTTAGAAGGGTTGAAAATTACTGGCCAGGTAGGCAAAGCAATAGTATGCCACAGTACGTCCCTCCCCTAGTATGAAAAACACCTCACCCCTAATATCAAATATTTCCCATATATGATACTACAAGATATGAAATATTTGATGACAAAGGGGCGGGGGGATTTGATACTAGCGGAGGGGACTAGAATAATCATGAACTATGACGATGTTGGCTAATATTCAAACAGCAATAAGGTACGGAACATATTCTGTCCTCCAAGTGCAAGCCATTGAGGAGTATGTCTGTCAGTTGCTCAACGGGAAATTCTTCCACCAGTCAGGTGCAAACGTCTGCTGAAATGGACGGGCTCCCTGTTGAAGATTTCAAGGAACTTCCAAATAGGCGCTCAAAGCAACACTGCATCCTTAATGCTCACCTGCGAAGATCACCTGGGATCCCATGATACCCCATGTGAGTAGCATTTTTTGGTGGTTAAATCCAGTAAGATTATATTCCTTATATAAAATACTATACCCCAAAAAAAGGATATAATCTTACTCTATATTGGGTACCATAGTATCCCCAAATAAAATACTACTCATGTTAAGAATGCGCGACATGCCAGCACTCTTTTCCCGACTTGCTTTTGGCCATTGCCCTTTGCATCTTTGTGTCAACAGGGCATGGCAAGGGTCGAGCAGCTGCTGGGCGCCTACCATATTATACTATATTAGGGGTTATATAGGGTATATTAGGGGTTATATAGGGATTATATAGGGTATATCATGTTATACTCTAACATACCATTATACCATATATCATACTATGTTACACCTTGTAGTCTGCATTTGCTTGTTGCTCCACACTTGGCAAGTTCACCTGCTTTAGGCTAGCAGATCTCTCGATTTTGCGTGTAAGACGTAGACCTTCATTGCTGAACCTGATGGGCTCAGCTTTGTTCCTTCTCAGAAGACTGCGTCCAGCAGCGCAGGGTCGAAGGCGCTCGCGGCCTCGCCAAGGATTCAGCTACAGTACTGGCCTCTGGTTAGCTGGGAATGAGGGAATGGAAAAGAAAATGGAAACTACTACGTTACAATAGGGAATCTATTGGGGTTATATAGGGATCATGATGGGTTATATGGGGACTGCTAATTGTAAGGATCCATGTCTTCGTTCCTAGCTAACCAAAAGCCAGAGTATGGCTGAGTAAGTCAAATGAGTAGTGTCTTTTGGTGGTTAAATCCAGTAAGATTATATTCC